AAAAAAAAAAAAAAAAAAACGGGAATTGGAGGAGTGACGTGTGATCGCGGAGCCAGTCAAAACAACCGCTACGCTCGAGAGCTCGACGGGATTGCTGGATATTGGTGGCCCCAACGTTTGGACGTACCGCATTGTCGGCCGCCCAGGTCGGCTGGACGTCGGCTCGGGAATGTGGCTTCCCAACCCAAGTGATTGGGCACACGAAGTTGGGAGCCATGCCACAACGGGAGGCCACCAGCGACAACTGTGTCTGCGAGCGGCGCATCGACCTTGATTTCGCCGACCCACACACTCTCGTGTCCACCGTCACCGCGGCAGGTGACGTCATGCTGGCATTTGTGCCAGAGCCGCGCTGCATCTTGTCCGCCCCTCCTAAAAACGCACCCGACTTGCGCGGACCGCTGGAGCCCGGATCCTTCGTCCGGCCCCCCGGCGTGCGCACCTCCGTATATATTTTATGCCGGTCGGGCCGGCGTTCGTGTGCAGCCGCCCTTGTCTGCCCGTCCAGCTTATTAGGCTTGCGCCCGTTCGCCACAGCCAATGTTGACGGCGAATCGCCGCGAATTTGGACTCGTATTCCTTTTTTTTTGTTGTTTTTCAATTTTTTGTTTCCGGTCCCTTGGTTTCTTGGCTTCGCTTCTCGGCTTCCCGGTTTCCTGGTTGCTCTGGCGCATAGACTTCAGACAGGGTCGGCGGGCTAAGGGACTGGCGAAGGCGCATCCGGGGTTGAGCTGTGCGGCATCTGGACCGCAACCGTGGACGGTGCCAGGCGACTTGTGCGGGCAACTTCCCGAACGTCGGCCCGGAGCTCATGAAGCTGTGAGCCCGCGTCAAAACCAATGCATTTAGCAGACAACGGCAGTTCCGACAAACAGCTTGCAGGGAGGCTTAACTGCAACAAGGTTGCGGCTGCAAGCCCGAGACGACTTCGATGGCATCATTGCATCCCGCCGAGCCGCTCATCACGTCAATGTGTATGAAGTTTATGTCGCCACGGCTCCAGCCACACAGGCGCACCACTTTCGCGCCAGACCCTAGCGACAGCCCAGCCTGCTCGAGCCTTTCTGCAAGGTAAGCTATAGTCACCGAGGGCATCCGGCGTCCCGGGGCACCGCGCATGCGGGCACCAATGGCACAAGCATCCACAAGCGCCGGAAGAAAAACACACGGAATCGTGTGGGATGACGATGGTTGCCGGCACAGCAGGTGCCTTTCAGTGTTGGGGAGCCCCGATAATGGACAAAGACACGTCGAGGGTCGGGCAACAGAGGTTTCCAACCAGTCGTTTTGAAACATTTCGGTGATGATGGCCCCCCTTTGCAAAAAATAATGTGCCATAGTGGGTGTTTGGACGCATCGCTGATAATTTGGGATTATGTGGGCCTTCGCCCATCTTCACCCACTGACCACCAACGGCAAAGCTTACCCCGGCATGCTCACGCTTGAATTTTTTTCTGATCCCCAAGGCTGCGAGGGATGCACCGATTGATTTTGTAATACACCTGATAGGATCCACGAACCCGAATGCAGACGCCTGACATACAATTCCATCCTCTTCTATCCTCCCCTCTATGCTCTCCTCCATCCTGTCCTCCACCCTATCCGCTATTCTATCCTCTATACTCTCCTCTCTTTCTTAAACATTCTCCTCCATCCCTCCTCCCCACTCGTCCATCCTCTCTCCCCTCCTCTCTCCTTGCCTGTCGCCTTTCTCCTCTCTCCTCTCTGCCCTCTCCTCTCTCCCCTCTCCTTTCTCCTCTTTCCTCTCTCCTCTCTCCTCTCTCCTCTCGCCTGACGCCTCTCTCCCCTCTGCTCTCTCCTGTCTCCTCTCTCCTCTTTGCTCTCTCCTCTCTTTCTCCACTCGTCTCGTCTTCTCTCCTTTCCTCTCTTATCCTCTCGTCTCCTCTCCTTCTCTTTCCTCTTCTCGCGCGAGGAGGCTCCAAAATCAACGACAGCTCTTCGGTTCGCACTTTCGAAACGTGAGGACCAGACGCAAGTCCAAAAACGACGACAGTTTGCGTTTCGTGACCAAGGCCCCCGATCCCTGTGACTGTTGACACATTCGAAACGCGAGGACCAGCGTTTGCCGACCAGGACCCCCGAAGTATGCGCGACACTCGCAAACGCCTGCGGACGCTTTGCGAACACAAACGCAACGATCTGCAAGCCAGACGTTGCCTGACGTATTGCCAAACGCCTTAGAGCGCGCTTGGTTTGCTGTGTCCGGCATGTTGCAGCGGTGAATTTTGGCAATGACGTCTCCTTGAGGAACGCACAAAAAGCAAGCAGCAGAAAACAGTAGAATAGAAGCTTCATGACGTATCGTGAAATGCTTCAGATCGTGCTCGAGCACGCTCGGCTTGCTGTGTCCGGGATGTTGAAGCGGGACTTCTCTGGCAAGGGCGCGTTCCTGAGGAAAGGGCACAATGCAAAGACTTTGCCGGAGCCCGGTCGTGGCTTGCGTCTATTTGTGGACAATTTCAAGATCCCAAATTGCAAGGACTCCGAGGTTTTCACTTGAAGTTCTGAGGCTTTTGATTGCGTTTACATTGACAGGGTCCAAAGGTTCCACCTCCCTAACTTCACGGTGTTTGTTCACTTGCTTTGGCCAGGCGTTCACGTGCAAGTTCCGACAATTGGCTATTGCCCTTTTTGAGAGGTTGCCGTGTTTTCATATACTTCGGTGAAGTTCTTGATGATTGCATTTACATGGACCGAAGAGCTTCAACTCCCAATTGTCAAGATGTTTGGTGACTTGATTTAGCCAAGCGTTCACTTGGCACCCCTGCAAAAATCGCACATTTGGCTACGAAAGAACGTTCTCATGATCGCTGCGTTTACATGGGGGTTCGCTTCCCAGGGGTCGATTTAGTTGACTTCCCGATCCCTCGGCGTTCCAGGGGGTTCTAAGCTTTCCTAGACAAAAGGGGTGCCTTTCCCAGGTGCCTGTTTCCTCCGCCGCTTAATTTGCTTAGTCAGTGCATCATCATCAGCGTGAACTAATTCGCTGATCATGCCCTTTTCTTTTGAACTTTTTGGCCTCTGGAAATGCTGACTGGCACCGCTATTTGGCACCTCCGGGCTGTTTGCTCACCCCGCCCGGGATCATCGATGGCCTTGGCGTCAGCCAGGACCTCCGCCAGGGGCGGCTCGGCGCCATCACAGTCGTCGGCCGCCCCCAGGGACAGCTCCAGCAGCGACATCGCGAAAACGAATTGGGCAGCGACAGCCAGCATCCCTGTCCACCTATGGATGTTGGCTTGGCGCGCCGCCGCGCGCAAACGTGCGGACACCGCGCCCTGCTGGCCGATTCGGCCGCCAACCTGCAAGCCCAAGACTCCAACTTCGCACTGCCTTGCGGCGACGGACTCTGGGTACACAGCCCGCTTTTTGCGGTTGGTGGAGGTTTGCAAGGCGAGGCCCGGCTCATGTTCGGCACCTGGCCTGGGCTCCTCGCTGCGAGTCAGCGGGCACACCAGCGTTGTGATGGCGACTGGGGAGTCCTGCCAGAGCGGCAGGCCGTTCGCCAACAATTCGATCCGGCGAGAGTCCGCCAGCAGCAGGCCACATTCATGTCGCGGAGAAGAACGTTGGTGGCAACATGCGCGCCAGCTTCCCGGCACATGCGTGCGGCGGCCCGCTCCAAAGGTGCCCCACACGCCCCCAGCACCCCCGCGGTGGGGCAAGCCGCGCAATCGTCGTTCAATGCATTCAGACCTTCCTTACGGTGTGGCTCTTGCAAGCAGGCTCGCCATTTTTGGCGCACAAGCGACGGCGCGCCAGGCGACGCAGAAAAATGGCCTTTCGGCGCCGAAGTGACCACCACCAAGCGGCAACGCCTGGAGCTCAAGGTAAGTGAGCGAGCGCTTGCCGCGAGCTGCTGCGGCGACAGCCTTGGCCTGTGGCATGTGGCGCCTCGTGTCACACAGGTAACCGGTTCCCAACAACCTCAGCACGACAGGCATGAGTGACAGAGACGTCGAGGTTCATCTCGGCCTGACGAACATTGCAGCAGACCCGGGCCCCTGCCTCCCGACACTCACAAGCGACAGCCCGCTTGCGCAAAGTGCTCGCGTGGCAAGCGCACCAGATGTTGCGCGCGCGTCGCGCGAGTGGAACGAGCGAGCGCAAACGGATGGACAGGAAACTCTGCAAACGTGGGCTGCTCAGTGAACACCCGAGCTGCATGCGGCCCGGCCTGTGACAGCAACGTCGCTCGCGATGCCGTGTCAAGGTCAGCAAAGTGCACCTCAAGCATGCCCTCATCAAAGGCCGCGGTTGTAAGTGTTGGTGTCTGAAAGCCGTGGGTTTGCAGATGTGCCGCGGGCGGCAGCAAATGAGGTGGGGCCTCCCGCGACTCCAGGCGTCTCTCGGCCTGCAGCTTGTGGGTGAAGCGGCCGGCTACTTCGGGCGTGTGGCATCTAATAATTAACTGGGAGCGAATCGTGCGATGAGGCCCATGCAACCGGGGCCGTTTAACACCGTCAGGACTGCAGCTGCGGCGGGGTGGTCGCGGCTGGTGAGCATGCTGGCGGTCACGAGCACAGCGCTCGGCTGTGCGTGGCCTGCGCCGCCGCACCGAACCGCCTGACAGAGCCGCCCTTGCAGGGCATGCTCAACCTCACTTCGTCTGTGGGGCCGAGCCGACTCCCACTGTGGGGCAAAGAAAGGGGCAGGTAGAGGAGCCCAGGGCAGCTGGCTCCTCAAAAAGAAAAATAAAATCTAACAACCTTCAATTGTCGTTTCCAAGTGGTGCCGGCCCGATTGTCCCCCTTAAACCCCATAGATGCCCATCTACACCCCATATAACCGCGTTTTATCCTGAAATATCCTGAAAAAATTCCCAAAGCACAAAAGTTTGGTCACGAAAGAGTTTTGCTTATAGACACAGCTAAGAGAATTGATTGAGAAGCCGGCGAGCCCACTCGTACGCATCCGTCAATTTTCTGGCATGTTTGCATAACAAGCCATTCACGGACAACAAAACCAGTCGATCAAAAGGCAGGATACTCCCAAAAATCGGGAGTTTGGGAGTTAACAACACTTATGAACTCCAGCCATGAAGCCCGCTGGCCACCTTGAAGCCATAGCAATGCACTGTTGCGCGTTTGACTTTTGCACGTGCTAAAAACGAATTGGCGACTAGGTTTGATTCCGACATGTCGACTTGCGGAACATTTTCCACGTTGGCATGTCCAAAACAAACATAACTACACGGAAGCCATCTGGTTTCCTCGGGTTTGATTAGATATGCTATGAAACTTCGTGCCGCGCTAGAAGTGCTCAACTCGTTTCTTGGGCTTCGGAACTGCACTCTTTGTTCGGTGAACGCCTGCAGAAAGTCTACACGCGCTTCTTGGAGGTGCGGCGGCGTGCTTTTCTAGTAGTGGGCAAGCTGAGCCTTGACTGTCTTACTGCGATGTGAAGTTTGCATATCCAGTCTAGCAGCTTCCAGATCTTGGAGCAGAAGTTTCGACCAAACTGCCCCTTCATCCTGTTCGCACGAAATTTCTCTGAGATAACGTGTGAGATGTTGTAAGACCCCAACGGACAAGGTTTACATGGGAATTACCATTTATGATGGGATCTCCATAGGGGATGGCAAGATTTCTATGGAACTCTTCACGCAACATGCTTGGTTGCTATGATGCAGGTTGGCCGTGCTTGTGTTTGACGTTGGCGGAGGCGGCCAACGGTTTTTTCAATGACTGTCGGCGCCCGTTCCTTGTGAACCCTATGCAGTACATCGGGGACAGCTCCAGGTCCAGTCGCATCGAAGGGCGTTCGCTTCATAGGCTTAGGAATGAAGAGTTGAATGATGTCGTGCCAACATTGTTTCGGATAATGATCTGGATAAAGCTGAGGCAGCAAACGGCAGGCGGCGAGGACTTCGTCGCAGGTGTTTATTCGCTCACCGCTGGCGTGCGTTCTGCTCCCTGGCTGGCTGTGCCGTCTGGTGGCACGGGCTCATGAACGTGGCCTGCGCCATTGTGCAGAGCACTTCAAGTGTGTCGTAGGCCACCAGCGCACCCGCTTCGCGGCACCGCGCGATAATCCCGACGCTCATCCAGAGCAACCCCCACACATGCGATCAAACCCCGCATCGCTGATTGGGCTGCATGGTGGTTGCAGCCGCTCGAGGCGCCGGCAAGCCGGCAAGCTGGCAGGGAAGGGCTCTATTGCAGCGCGTCTGCCAGATGGTCGAGCGGCGGTGTATCCCCATCACACTCATCCGAAGCTGTCAGTGTCAACTCAAGAAACAACATCGTACATGGGTGCTTCCTGCTGAATTGTCATGCTTAGATCAGCCACGGTATCAAGGCTACGATCTCAGACAAAGCGTCTGTTGCTGGGCGAATTGCTGGCCTAATGCAACTGCAGTGTGGACAGCAAGCACTATGTAGCTGCGGAAAAACCGGGCCTCCTCGGACTCGAAATTGGGAATTGGCTTGTGCTTCAGAGAATTGAAAGCTTGGCGTAATCCCTCTGTCCTGAGCACACACACACACATATGCATTCCCACGTGCTCCAGCAGGAAGCTGCCTATAGTCTCAAGAAGTGACAGAAGGAGAAGTGGAGCCAGTACCATCGGCAGCACCATCACCCCCGAAAAACAATAGCACAAGCTTTGTTGCTCAATGCTGAGATTGAAGGGGGCTCAGCTTTGGACCCACAACCAAGTCACACATGAGACAAGATTGTTGAAACTGGCTGCAAGATCATGGTCTTTTAACACCAGAGCTGCGCAACTGACGCGCTACCATCATCGTTCTGCAATTTTCAGACGCATGCATAAGCCTTGAACCCTCGCTCCCATTTCAGTCCCGAGAACGCGTTTGCCTGGAACTTGCTGGCACTGTACTGCTTAGGTTCGCCCTAGTGTGGGGCTGAAGCTACGGGACTTCATGCTGTCACCCATGTCAACCTGTACTTGCGTGCGTGCGGTCTTACAGCGGACCTATTGACACATTGTTCATCGCAAGACATGGGGAGGGAAGTGGAGGCGAGATGATGCTCTTGTTTTAACGTCAGAATCTGTCCCGTGGATGAAGATACAAAACAATCACGCAAAAAAATAGGCCATGTAGATACCATTGGATCAGGATTCAGGATTCATCATTGAAAGCACCTGTCTGAACACGGAGAACCATGATCGCAAACACCAAAAATCAACGAACCAAGACAAGTGCTTGCATGCTGCTTGCATCAGGAAAAACGTCGCAGGCCAAACAGCCAAACAACTTGCAGACAGAGATCTTCGCACGGGGATCTGCCCTGCTGAGAAGGTCATGCAAGCGCAAGGCAAGTGCTGTGGCCCCCATACCTCGCTTTAAGGTCTTTGCCACCAACTGCCTCCGGCGTGCGAAGAATTGTCGATTGCAAACAACTGTGGAAGCCGCCCATTGCAACACATCGCTTGTGTAGGACAACAGTTCGTCGAACGGCCAGGCCGCATGCGGATCTGCATAACTCCAGAGATTGTTTGCATCAGGCCCTTGTGCCAGCAACATTATTTCCCTATCCTTGCTGCCCAGATTGTCTTGGAGCAATCGGACGGGATGACAGTATGAGACTATGGTCGCAAGCCGCTCGATGGCTTTTAACAAGTATGGTACGGAGTCCTCTCCCTGACCAAATTTCGAAGCAACTGGCTGCCGTGACACAACACCGAGTTCTCGTGGTTGTGAGGATATGGGCTCCATCAAACCTGCTCATCACCGACAACATCTGCAGCCATGCTGTGGAGTGCTGAGGAAGACTCTTCTGTGCCGTAGATTTCTTATACAGCGAACTGGAGTGCTTGCTTGTGCACACAAAAATCAAGAAAACACCTCTGGACACTTGAACCATCAGGTCAGCTGCGCAAATTCAGTTGTCCCTCTGCAGTGATTCATTGCTTTTGTGAAGTGTCGCCATCACATGAAAGTTTGGGCCAAGCGACTCTGGGAACTTTGAAGGACCCTGTGTGTCCGAACGTCAGGCACATGTTTGGAAATGGCCTCAAATGTGGCTGACAGGGGTAGGTACATGCAGCAAAAGCAGCAGCAGGCCTTCCGCACATGAGATGTGCTTTCATGTCTGCGAATGCCATGGTGCTGGTCGCTACAAACACTTCGTCAATGTTGTGAAAACCACAAGCGCCTCACATCTTTGGAGAGTCGCCAGTACTCAACACCCACGGCCAGTTCTGTGAAACAGTTGCACCCTGGGTAGACTTCGCACAGCACAGATCGAGAAGATTTGCTCACCACACCGCGCACTCACCTCCTCGGGCATGACTTTGGCCTCAACTATGTGAAAAAGCAGAGACAAGTAAAGACCAGACTCAACAATGTCGCGCCTTGCACAAAATGATCTCGGGACCTGCAGCCGCCGCTCTTCTCACTCTTACAAAGTATTTGCTCCGATCTCCGATTGCTGTTGCAGTTCGATTATCGGACACAGGTTGCGGCGTTAAAGAAATGACTCTGCAAGCAAACCTCAGTACTGTTCAAAGCTTCTAGTTGAAGAGTGACTTGCAGAACATGCTTGAAATGCGTGGCACCGAAGGTCAAAACAAGCAGCAGCTCTGCTTTCACCGCACCTTCCTCGCATGGTGCTCAAACCCTTGCCTCAGCGACAAAAATCCACACAACTCCTTGCAGTAGCAGCTTGTATGAACGCAAGCGCTCTTCACAGAAGCCCTGGCGAGATGTTAGTGTGTTGAAGCAAGGTACATCTGGGAGCTCTGCGCAACCGGCTGCCACACTCGGTGTGGAGCCTGTCATGACATTCCGGCCAGCCTCCCAAAGAAAGCAGAGATGCCCGCCTCAAAGTCCTGCGACTCATTGAAGGCATTCAGTTGCGGCTTGATGTCGAAAATGCCCTGCAATCAACGTGACTCACAATCCCAGAATGAACCAGACAATTGTTAGCCCGTGTCCGCCCAACAAGCAGCTCCGAGGCCACGACGCTGTGTTCGCAGCCTTTGGCCTTTGGAAGCAATGGATCAGGTAACGTGGCACACACTCAAAAACAACCCAGACAGGCAAGAAGTCGGGGATCAAAAAATGAAAGAAGAGTTAAGAAAGGTTCAATAGGGCATCAAAAACATCAACCTCAGCAGAAAAATGGAGGAATGTGAGGACGCTCTATGCGAGAGCTCGATTTTCCCAAGGACCTACTACTACGTCAGAGTGGGGGCCCGTTCCAGAATGTGAGAATGCTGGTGTTCACGGCCCCTCTACGAGAGACCTCAATTTTTCAAAAAGTTCGGGGGTGCAGCTTCCCCTTGGCATACAATTTGAGGAATGTGGCAGTTGTTGATGAGGGTTCACTGAAAAGGACCCCTCGATTGCAAACCATTACGGAATGTGGCAGTTACTGATGAGGATTCAATACTGGACATGAAACGGCTTCATGAGGTGCCACCCCCATTTGCAAACCGTTGAGGAATGTGGCAGTGGCTGATGAGGATCCGCTATCAGACATGATACGGGCGTAGATTTACAAAAGCAGGGGCATTGGGAAGGCGCAGCCCCCCATTTGCAAACCACTGAGGAATGTGACAGTTGTTGATGAAGATTCACTTTTAGACAGTTCATGTCGTGACGGAAAATGATGAAACGATGGAATGTCATGAAAATCGAAGTCATGCAAGCGAATGACCATGATGAAAAGAAGAACGACAGAAGTCTGTTTACAAACCTGCTGACAGTCAATGACACGTGATGCAAAGGTTGGAAAATCATTGACATAATGAAAAATATGAAACATGCTGAAACATGCAATATTATTCACAAACATGGAAAATAATGAAAACATAGGGAACACGATGAACAATAATGGAAACCGTTGAAAATATTGGTAAATCATTAAAACTGATGAGAGCAATGTAACATGATGAAAAACAGCATTGAAACATAATGAAACAAAAAATGATCAAACAATGATGAACAATTAGAAAAACTGATGAACACATTGGAGCATGATGAAAATGGTGGAAAATCATGACATATGATGAAAGTGATGCGAAAAGATGATCATGAAAAACGATGAAAATCATACAACAGGGAATGATGAAACGAAATAAACATGATGAAGATTTAATGTAATGGAAAGTAATGAAAAACTGCAGAAATCATAGCATATGACTTAATAAATCTAATATGATGAAACATGTGGAAAGTCATGGAATATGATGAAACATGACAACCTTCCTTCCTTCCTTCCTTCCTTCATTCCTTCCTGCCTCCCCTCCTCCTTTGCTCCGCCCTTCGCTGCTTCTTGTGTCCTTGCTTGTCGCTGTTCCCTTCGGATTGAACAATTGTCCCTTGGATATGTTTTGATTTTTGTCTGCCCTAATTTGATTGTTTTTGATATTCATTTGATTTCGTGTTGATCCTAATTTGATTTTTTGATCCACCTCCCCAAATTGCATGTGCAGAATTGCCGAGAAGCGAGCTGACAATTGCGCCTGATGATGGAGTCGCTCAGACACACATAGATAGGCTGCGATGCGGCTGGCCTTCACAAATCCGAGCAGTTAAGTCATTGCAGCCAGCTGCATTATGAGACTCTGCAAGCTGGCAGCGAGATAGTTACCCTTCATGTTGTGGTACTACTGCGCACGTGCTAACCACTATAGCTTGGGCTTGCTTGGGCTAGGTCGCTGACTAGCTGAGCTGCCTCGGGCACGCCGACTGATGAAGCCACCTACTTCCAGAGAGCACGATTGTCAACACTTCACCAGCCGATGGCATCGCCTGCAGACTCCGCACTAATGCTCTTTGGCGATCTGAAGACAACAAGTCCTGTGGTGGTCTCTGCCATTCCAGCAGTCGTGCTTCGATGCAAACGAGTGTTTTGCGGACATCTGCTGACAAAAGGGCCAGGCCGCATCACGATCTCTCAAGCAGTAAAGCGTCTGGCCACCTGCCCCCCAACAGCTGGGGCCTGGGCCACTTCCTCCTGCCTCATGCAGGCACACAAGTCCCAAGCGGCTGAAGAAGAACTGAGTTCCGAGAAGTGGGCGCAGCAGGTGGAGGACTTGTGCCCTCGGAAAAGCCAGGAAGTAGACCGCTCATGTACATCTACAAGAAGGGCGGCTGCCTATGAACATGACAACTCACGATGCGAAGACAAGGACACAAGCAACCAAGAGAGATTCAAGGCGAGGCCAAACAAGCCTGAGGCCGTCTTGCATTTTTTACTAGCATGACCTGCATTGCATTTGCAACAAAAGCAATGATCGGTAAGCTGAGCATGCCTCAGCCCATAGGATCCTCAATTATCAGCAGGCAACCTTTCTGACATCGGAGACATGACGTGTTGACACGTGTTGCCTGGTCACCATCCGTCCCCGCACGAACAGAATCCTTGTGACGAAGCCATATTTGGGGACCATGCTGAGCGCGCGACAGACTTGAGCCGCTTCTCCCGGGCAACAGCTTGTCGCCAGTCCTGGCTAAATTTCCAATGAAGGTCGAAACACAAAGGCACAGCGCAGCTTTGGGCGGCTTGCTTGCCTGGAAGCGGATTCCGGACTTCATCATGAACAACCGGACGCCAGGAAGGACCTACATTTTGCGAGCATTAGATGATTGGATAACAGCCTACAGTACTTGCCTTGCCTCACGGTGGCTGACCGATGCCTTGAAACTTGAAATGATGCAGATCTAGGTCAAATTGATCAACCACTCCAACAGTGGACGACTCAGTTGCGCGCACAGTGGTGCAAAGCTGAGCGCAATGTGGCCTGGAGTTCCAATCCCACCAAGAGCTTTAAGACCGGGAGAGAACACTTGCAACACTTGAATCCTCATCAGCGACACGAAACTCAACAGCACGTAGCCAGGGACGTGATAATTTGAGCTCGAAGAAGGTGCAAGCGGCAAGCAACTTACGGTTTCTGATTGCACGACGCGCACAGGCACCTTTTATAGCAGCGTCTTTCAGCATCAAACAAAACAACCCCGACTGTGTTCGCAACTGTAGCATCCTTGCGCTAGCTGAAGCTTGCTAGACTATGCGCTCGCCTGAACTGCAGCTGCATGGTGGTCCGGGTGTTCCAGAAGTCGAAGAAGCGCGGACTTGGCATTGTGACATTGTGTGGTGTGCTGCGGTTCACTATCTCCTGGCACCACTCTGTGGATCTGGCTGCCAGCACCTTCAACTGAACTGCCAAAACCTTGGCAAGGTATGACAAGGCCAGAAGACCGTCGGACCTAGTCACCTGAGACTTGATGGTGTCCATTGTTTTGCAACAGCTTGCCTCCAGGCTTTGACCCCAGCGCACGATTGCCCCCTTCTCAGGCACTTTCCACACCTATCAGGGTGGAAGTCAAAGTAAGAGTAAGAACACCGGGGTTCTGCAAACGTCAACTTGAAGCCTCCGCGTCCGACACCGGAAGGGATGCCCATGCCTTTTAAATGAAAAAGGTAACTAGGTATTGCCAGCACTCATGCATGGGACTAACAGGCATGGGACTAACGGTCCTGCGGCCCAAGGTGCATGCGGCACCCAGCGCCCACGACTTATGTTGCATGGCTTCCTGCAAGCTGTCTGCGCGCAAGTCGCAAGTGTGTAACTAGCAATGCGGGTTGACCAAGTGTACGAAAGCTCGACACCAAGGTCTTGGCAGCGAATGTGGTGAGGCATCACTGAAGGAGTCCATGGGTGCTTTCAGAAGCTGCTCTAGGCTGACGTGTTATGGGGTAGGCTCTGATTTCTGCAGACGCTGTATGGTTCCACATGTTTCTTCCGTCAGCTTCGGTCCCTGACTAAGTTGCTTTTGGGTCAACACGGGCTGTCTCTTCAAGGGCAGCGGAGATACTACAGTTCATGAAGCTTCTCATTCAGCCGGGATCGAAGCGAGTCGCACATGAGATGATGGGCTGTAGTTCTGCAGCTGCCACAGCTAGATCTGCTGCGGGCCTATCACTTGGCTTTAGAGAACTTTCACCACTCTCTGCTCAATCGCGCTGCAGGGTGTGGCAGGGTCGCGGAAGCTGAAGCCGAAGGCGGCACAGGCCCAAGACCTGCAGCAGGCAGCCGCAGCCAAAGGGCTTCAGACAATCTTTTGTAGATCTCCAGGATGCCTACGGACCAGCAAAGGACATGTTCCTGTTTCAGGCGTCGCCCTGGCTCTTAATATGCTATTAGTACGATTTAGTACGGCAGCACGTGCCACTACATGCTCCGACAGCTTTATGGCTTTGCGAGACGCAGTCTCGCAGGTTTTGGACAGCATGCGCAATCCGCAACCGGGCTTGCCAGGACCATTGCCATTTGGAGAAGGGAGAAGGATCCATCTACAGCTGAGAAGAATCTTCGCAAAAACCTTATTGAGTTCAGTCGGGGGCAAAGCTGCTGTCCTCTACCAAGATTGCAGCTAGCAGTTTCAGGCTGTGGGACTGCATCCCGGCCGGCACAGCCAGACGCGGCAGGTGAGGCTCCGGCCTGTTGCTGCTGAGCTGGGCATCGCCTTCTTGATCCGACATGTTGTCTCACATGGTCTTACATCTCTGGGTATCCGCGGTGCATGTCTGAGTCGCACGCATCCCAGGTGTTGAGAGGCCTCGGGGTCAGATTTCGTGGTGCGGGCAAGGCATTTTGCTCATGTCAGGAAAAGATTGGGAGCCGAAAAAGGCTTTGATGCTGCGGCTGACCGGCTCTGGAGGGCACCGCTGCTACAGGCCTCCCCATGCAGCTCTGAGGAGGCGGCTCAGCCAAGCGTGCTAGCGGCTGCGCAGCCAGCACCAATTGTTGCTGCTGCCTCGTGGTTAAGCAGTTTAACTGGGATAACACCTTTGCCGCTTTCGATCCCGCGCCTTGCACGTCCTGGAGGGTCGCCACCTGCATGCACATCAGCGGGGACCTGTGCGGCAGGAAGCTCAACTTGGCTTTCCAAACACAACAGGGCGCACTCCACCAGTCCAGCGGCAACAAGTCTGGACCTCGGCTTGAAGCCCCCACAAAAAAGAAGCATGTAGAAACCACCCAGGGATCACCCCTGGGCTATGTGCTGTCCACAGCGCAGCAGCCTCTGATTCCTGCAACAGCAATACTGAAAATGAATACTGCCATTGAGTAGGCAAACCTGATGGTATATCATCGTCGTCTTCGTTAGCATCTTTTTCTCGTCAGCATTTGGCTGGCAGCCTTCCTGTTGCCGCAGAGGAGTCAACTGCGGAGAACTGCACGGGCCAATTGAGGCCATGCCCCTGGGTTTTCCTGAAAGGGTCTCGGACGGAATGCGATCCGGGGCTGTTCCACGTAGACACGGCAACAGTCAACCTATGCCAACCTGCACCCCACTCATGCTCCTAAACTTTAACCCCTTCCGCCGATGACTGATCCCCTCAAACAACAAACAGGTTTCTTCTTGAAGCATGCAACAGGAGCTTGAGAACTGGCGGTGATGGGAGAGTGTTTGCCTTTCTTGGAGGCTGAGATCCAAGACTGTTTTCCTCGTCGTGACTTGAATGCTGCTCCAGCCCCAAGGCCGGTCTTGGGCCGGAGCTGAGAAAAGTGTAGATTTAAATGGGTAATGGGAGGGGCCCAAATGGAGAAACGGACACCCAATGATTGTGATGATGCTGGCCGAGGGGGCCAACATCACCATCATTGGGGATCCATTTCTTCTTTTGAGGGCTTCTAGTCTCCACTCTGGCCCAGCCACCTCGGTAAGACGTGCCGCACACGCTGGGACAAAGGTTGGAATAGTCATGGCGGGTGCCGAACTCCAACTACGTTTTAGACTTGCCGGCCTCAAAAAGGGGGAGGGCGAGTTAAACCCAAAACCGGGCAACACCCATTTGTGCTCGCTCCAGCAATGTAGCCATAGCTATGCGCCATAAAGGAGCGTGCGCCCGCCGCAGACTCTGCATCAATGGACCTATGACCTATGCTTCTCCAAGGGGCCCCGCGGACCCCATTCCGAACGCAGCCTGAAATCACACGCACTCCGGAGGCTTTCCCCGCCACCAAGGATGGATTTTTGAAGGGTTTGTGGGTACGAGCACTGACCGTTTTCACAGCTAGTTGAAGGCCCGTTTTTGGGCAGACTTCAAAATGGCCCCAATGATGCTGATGACGCTAGCCCGATTGGCTTGCATCATCAGTATCATTGGGGGTGCGTTTCTCCTTTTGGGGCTTCTAGTCACTAGTCTGCTCGTGCGCTCTAAGACAGGCATTCTGGTGGGACGCGCCCCGCGCGCTTGAGGCGGCGCGCGCTGGCAGAAGCTGACTTATAGCTGTTGCGCCGTGGCGCCGACCCCCTCGTTTCTGCCAAGCTCAAATTCTTCTGCGTCCGAAGGCTTCCCGCCAGCACACGCAGGGATGAAGCATTCTAGGACCCTCAGAAAAAATCATGAGCACATGGGCGTTGCCCAATATTACCTCCATAACAAAATGACCTCCTCGCGGAAATCCAAACTTCCTCTCGCGCACACCATCACGAGCTTTCGCCGAAGCATGTTTGAAGCACAAACCAAGTCCTGAACTCTCAAAAGAACTCTTGACCGTGGGGTTGGAACTTACCCAAGCCCTAAACTCATACACCGAATTGCAGAAGCTATGTCGTCTCACATGGCTTGCAATGCTGGGGGCTTGCTCGGCCTACGCGACCTTTCGCGGATCTTGCGCGAATTTTCAGGTAAGAATTCTGAGACTCAGCCTGTGCCTGAGAAAGACTTGCAACCCTTTCACCTTTGAGCATGCCTCCAAGCATGCCTGCGGACTGCACGAAGAGAAATGTTTTTGAAAGTAAGTAAAGGAACTATAGCTTACGATGCTTCTTTCGAAAATCCAATTTTTTTTCGCGAGCATCATCGCGACCTTTGGCGGAAGGTCTTTTAAGCCAGCCGTGGTCGTTCTACATAAAACTTCCACATGGGGTTTTCGGGCGATGCCCACATTTGCTTTCGAAAGCTAGCCCCGAGGGTCGGCCTGGGCCCAAGTCAAGGCGTGCCCAAATTCAAAGACCCTCAGGCATGCAAAGGGGAGAAACGGACGCGCAATGATGCTTATGATGCTGGGAATACGCCCTTATACACTGCTTGGCCAGGAGAACTTGCATGAAGCTGTCATGGAACTTGAAAATTTCATGAGTTTGCGGGTTTTATCGTGCTTTTGTTTTGATATTTCATGGGATTTCGTGAGGGTTTTAGGGTCCCGGGCATCTTGTGGTTTACGCTGGTTTTATGATGGCTTTGTGGGGTCGAATTGCAGTTTTGTGGCCTTTGTGTCAGCATGAGCTGTTTGGGCCGATGGTCTGTGGGTGCTTGCATCAAGATTGCAGTAGTTGAAGCAGCCTCCAAATACCCGTGAGCGACAAGGGATGTGAATCACAAGTGAGAAAACGGATCGAAATCAGAGCCAAATTATGCTGGCGATGCTTGCGTCCTAAGCCCTACCTAAACCCTCTCCTCCTTTTAAGTTTAAATCCTCCTTTGCATCGAGGCCCACCAGGCGAGAAGCAGCGACGCAATGATGCTGGAACTGCCTCGCCCCCCACCCCTCGGGCTTGCGAGATTCCCAGTTCTGATGATCACATTATTTCCTGTGTCCATCTGACATCCTACCGTGCACTATACTAATGGCCATAATGTATCAAAAGTTCGATGTTGCGGAAATGCATCCCGGACCTTGCACCCATACTTGTTGTGAGTAGAACGTGTTTTTGTGTTTGCTTGTTTCTTTGCTTGCAACGCGTCCCGCCTTGCCAATCATCAGCCTCTGTGTGCAATTTATGTGCAACTGTTTGCCCAACTTTCGTTCTGCATGACGTGGCCGGCTCTGCGCGCCAGCCTTCTGGATCCGGCCCTGCCGCCGTGGTCCAGCCAGAGCCCGTGTCTATCTAGAGCTTGAGCTCTACAAGGGGTGGCGCTGCTGCCGCCAACCCCGCCTACGGCCAGCATGCCCCACTTCAAAACCAAGCAGAAATTCACATGTGCTCTGAAAGCTTCCCCCCAGCAGACGGAGGATTTTTGAAGGATGAGCACAGACCGTTTTGAAAACTCCCCAAGGCCCATCCTGGGGTAGGGCCGAGAAGAATGTGGATTCAACGTGAGGTCATTGAGCACGGGGAGGCCAACAAAACCGACCCACAATGATGCTGATGATCCTGATCCTGGCCAAGGGGCCCAGCATCATCAGCATCATTTGAGGTCCCTCCTGTCCTTTTCCAGGCCTGGGCCAGGCATGATGGGGTGGAGAAGAGTTGGAATGCTGGAACCACAGAGGCTATCGTGCTTCCTTACAAATTTTACGATGGTTTTACATGGCTGTTCCAAAGCAATATCATAAAAACATGTAAACACAATGCTGATAGGCGTGGTGACAGGTTCCTGGGCTTGTGATGGTTTTATTCAAGTTGCTATGGGTCTTGCGTGAGGGTGTTCAATTCCAGCGCGCGCCATGTTTCATGATGATTCCAAGATGGTTATGTGGTCTTTTCAAAACTGCCCGCGGGCTTTTTATGGCAGTGCTCATGAATGTGCGCGGCTTCAGCTTTTGCAAGGGCGGGCTTTCGAGCGCCTTGAACAGCTCAACATTAAATGCGAGTGACGAGAAGCGCAGTTGAGCAGCGAAATGGGCCCCAATGGTCCGGATGATGCTCCGTACGCAGGCATAATCAGCAGACCGAAAAGCATCATGAGCGCGGCTTCTAGC